ATACAACAAAAATTCATCAAAGGTGCCCTCATTCAGGCTAAAACTGCCGTACAATTTCGGAAGGATTTAGAAGCTTCTACAGCAGCTGAAAAAGAACGAAGAGAACGAAGAACTCAATCTCAACGTCAACTACAAAAAGGAGGAGTTTTATTGGCTTCGCAGGCTCGAAATATGGTCACACAGCGCGTAGAAGAGGGTGGTACACAGCTCCAGAGGGCCCTATGGCGAGAAGAAGACCTACGAAAAGAGTTAGAAGATGAGCGCCGCAAGCTCTCAAATTTGCAGTGGAGCGTTGAAAATGGCTTCCCATTCGTTGAGGAGTAATAGTTTCCTAATTGAGCGAATTCTGCACTGTCTATACTCATTCAAATTCAATCAGTGGAATCAAGATGCGCGTTACGCTGATTTGCGCGTTACGGTGAGAGCCACGCGCTGCGCGCGGGCTTGTAGGGGGGTACCCCCCTGCAAGTGGGGCCCTCTAAGGGCTCCACCCATTGGGCCACGGCTAGTAACTACTTGCACTTGTTACAGAGTAACCACGAGGGTGCACATGGAGGTGTACTTTACCCGCAGCCGGACCCTGATAGCGCACGCCACTCGAGTACCACTTACCACTTATCATTTACCACTTTACCCTTATCCCTTACCCCTTACCCCTTACCCGTTCACCCAGCCACCGTCAGCCACATCAGCTATTAGGTAATCCATAAGTTACGAGTAATTGACAGACATCAACCGTGGCGCATCTGACTCGAGTCATAACCATGAGGCTGGATGGGATAGGATACCTTCCACGTCCTTACACCTCTTCAATCGTGTGGAGTGGTGATCATAAGGCATTGTCCAAGTTATGTGTTATGTTCACGGTGTCATTAATACTATATATGGACTTTCTAGCCAGTCCAGGGCCGTTGGAGACCTCTATCTTCTCAGCATAATTAGGTCAATAGGGTATCCCGTTCGTCAGCAGTTGAAACTCGTCATATAACTTGGTGCTATAGTTGCCCTCGCTCTTCCGGATACACCCCTTCATGAACTCCGCTGCCTCCCGTTCCGTCTGATCCAGCACGAAGCGGTCCTTGAAATTCTTCATTGTCTCAGGCTTAAAGCAGGGCAACCCGCTATCTAACATCAGTGCCACCAGATGAGACAATTTCTCACTGTACGGTCTACTTGCCAGGAATGCCTTGACAGTGAGCTCCTCGAACCAGCGATACGGCTGCGGATTGGACGATTCTTTGCCCATGACCGCCATCATCTCGGGCGTCAGCTTGAAAGGCGCACGTTCAAACTTGACACCGCCGGGAGCTATGTCAAAGCAGAATCCGAAATCAATGTGTAGAATGTGTCCTGCGTCGTCGATCATGATATTTCCGTTGTGTCGGTCTTTGAATTGGAGCAGATAGCTGATGACACTGTACGCAGCCATGCTCTTAACAAAGTTGGCGCGTGCTTCTTGAAAGCGGATACTATCCTCACCACCATACTTGGTGATGAAGTAATCGTAAAGACCGTTGACTGCCTCACGACCAAGCATGTCACGAGAAATGGAATTCGGTAGGACATCGATGACGCCGCACCCAGGCGCAGTGGCCGTTACCCGATACGGGTACACGTAGACATCCAGACCGCAAGAATTGAATATGCCGCGAAAAGCTGCGATCATCTGAAGCGCCAGAACGTCTTGCCGGCAGTCATCACCAACCTTGAAGATGGCCGATTGCCAAACTTCGAAGGTGTTTGCGGTAGTCAAGCCACCCATCATTGACAAGTCGCTGGCCGACCCAGCACTAATATTCTTGGGCCGTTTTCGTTCCTGATCCTTGGGTGCATCACCAACTAGGTCGCCCACATTCTCCGCACTCTGTTCGTAAGACCTGCGAATGCGAAAGGTGGCCATGAAGGGGGCTTTGGCGTGAGATTGTAGCGGTTTGCCTGACTTGCGATCAATGCCCACAACCACTCCGTCAGGATTGCTGGGAAGGTAAACGCCAATTTCGACCTTGATCATGCGCAGCTCCTCTTCGATCTTCACCTTCTTCTCCGGCTTGGGTCTCTTTATGTATGGTTTCAACTTGCCTGAAATGCTGGTAACCTCGTTGAAGAAGGCGAATTCACGCTCGTAGAAATCTCTATCTTCGAGAGAGAAGCTCGATATCAGACTGTCCATGACCTTGTCGAGCGTGGGCTTGACAGGATCGGGTACTTGAGAATCTTCGTCTTTGTATGCATTCGCTTTGATGTTCCAGATGATTTGGTGAGCGAAGAGCTGAGAAAAGTTCCCGGCTTCAATAATGTACCGCTCTACATATCCCAGTGCATCATATCGCAGACATTGCACGATCTGGGGAACGTAGAAAAAGGTAACGTCAACCGAGTGATAGTCTAGCGCGCGCATACCATACTGTAAGATAAATGGATGATTCCCGTAGGCAGGAAGAAAATATGTCACAGCCTGCATCGGATTGACAGGAGCCCAGTAAAGTAGATACTTCAGCTGAAACGAAACGTCTGAAGGTAGAGTGGGTCCGAGCAAGATTTCAAGAGCATCCGTCTCGCCAGTAGCCTTTTCTGGGAAGTTGAGAAGAAGAAAGCGAATAGCTTGACGAAGTGCTTCAGAGCGAAAGCGAGTCGCCATCTGGATAGCAATTCCTGGTTCAGTGGACCATGCAGTACGGAGTAAAGGGATTAGATCTGTATCTTTGACAGCGAGGTGGGTAGGGTAATGCTCAAGTGGGAAAAGCCAGACTGCCAGGCGTATTCTTTCGCTTTCGATGAGCAGCCGAAGAAGCTCCTGCTTCGGTTGCAGAGTCTGCCGCGTGTTAATTGTTGTCGACCCGATATGCTGAGTCGCGCTTAATGCTGAGAGCACATCAGCCAAGATGCTGAGTTCAGCTTTCATCTGAAGTCGATTGCCACCAAATGACCATACTGGGGGAAAGCTGAACCAGTGAAGTCCCGTAGAAAGAAGCTGGTCTTTGAGTTGCCACGCAGAGTTCTCGCTGAGGCATGTGTTGAAGCGTAGTATCTGCATTGCTAGTAGAATGACGTGAAAATAAACTTCCCTCGCAAGTGGATGAGTTGAAATTTTTCTAAAGGCATCGAGTGTCTTGCGAATCATACGAATAAAAGCTCTTTGAGTATTCAAGCTGCCGAGCCTGATGGCGTTGAAATGACTCGCAAAGACTTGATGCACCCTCAAGTGAGGCGAAATCATGTTCTGGACAAGCTGCTGGTGCTTAAGAATGGCTCCTTTGTCCGAAGGCGCAAATTCTTGCTTGACATAAAACGGATCTTTGTGATTGAATTGGTCGCTGAAGATGCCAACTTTACGATCAATTGTCCTCTCCCAAGCTTGGGCTATTTCGGTCAAGATCCGTGGTTCCATTCTTGGATTTTCATGGATCACTCCAAGCCACAACGATATGCCTAGTTTGATGGACGCCTTGGTGAAGGCCTGGAAGGGTATGTTGACAAGATGATAGACAATAATACTCTGCGGGCCCTTGCTCCGGCATAGCAAAGCAGCAACTCGGCGCAAGACGTCCCTTAGCTCGATGTCCGCAATATGAGAACCTACAGAGACACGATATTCAATGTCATCGAGAAGTGTCTGCACTTCCTGATTTGTACCGTTTGACTTCAGGTAGCCATTCACGACTTGCTCTTTGGTATGTACAAGAGGTAACATGTCGCGGGCATGCTCTGGAACATCAGCATGACGATACTCCTGCCTGGTAGTGTATTGTGCCATGAAATCAGAGGCAACATTGACATTGACATGTTCTGCTTGTCTTTCGATAGCTCGTAACCGTTGGTCCAAAGGTGGTATTATGGAGCCTATCTCAAGCGCGAATGAGCGTCCCAAGGAGACATGGCCGTAAGCTCCTGTATCATCGTACTCTGAAAGATAGGTTTGTAGCAGGCCTTTCACATCCAGCGGAGCACTAGCTAAGACACCTATAACCCATTTTTTGGCATCAGCATAGAAAGTGTTAAGAGTCCGCTTCCGGAACGCATAATCGTCAGACAGCTCCAACGTTATCTTGCCGCGAGTGGAAGTGAATGTTGATTTGAATTCATACTCGTCGATCTCTGCATCAAGACAAGATGACCACATCGTTGTCAAGATTTCGAGCAAGGCGAAAAGAGCCGACTTCTGACACAGAGCTGACGGTACCTGGGAAATTATGCGGTCTGCACATGTTCGGGCTACCTGTTGGACCATAGCAATGCGGTGACAGCATCCAGTCAATATCTGGGCCAGTTGCCGAGACACATACACAGATCCAAACTCCTCGAATTCTCCTGGCACCGCTCTATTGAGGTATATGTTTATAATCTCTTGAGCAATACCACTCATGCAAGTACCCATGTCGCTGTCTTTCATAACTGGGTCAAGGAAGTATTTGAGCACCTCCGAGCAATTTCCAGATCTCGCTCTAAGCCCCTCCACGATAAAAGCTGCGTTAAGATACACCACTTTCGGATAACTCAGGTGCCTGATTTCTGATTCGCGATGAGGGAGGATACTGATCAGATTCTTCTTCTGCTCAGCAGTATGCTGTCCCGTCATAGATCTTCTCAAGATGGTGTTCAGCTCTACGTCGCTTTCCAACAGCTCCGCTCGATCCTCATCAACCAATGGTTCGGAATTCAGCGCTAGGATTCTGAGTTCATGATAGTACTGTTGACCAAGTCTCGATTGAAGAGTGATTCCATGGACTGCGATATTAAACCAAGCCTCACGGGCCATTGCGAGCAGTTCATCGTCTTCTTCAAAAGAACCTTCCGTGTTTTCTGCAGGCTTTCTCGACACAACGACTGCGAGGGGCTTGAGCAATGGCGCTATTTCCTCAGCTGCTTGCTCAATGTTTGGAAGGCGCTTCGTATCTCCTTCAACCACATCTCCTTTGGTGACGATTCGTTCTAGCAGGTGAATAGCAAATATGCGAAAGAGGGGAGTCTGGTTGTCAAGATGGGCAGCGAGATGCATCCTTGCTTTATGGATAGCTTCTATGATGATGGTGTTGTTGTTTTTTAGCGCTTCATTGTTCAGCCTGGAATAGAATCGAAGTAAAGCTCTGAACTCGTTCTCCTTTCCCGTTGTTGCGAGTACCGCCGACTCTTCAAGAATTCGGGCATCCACAACCAGATTGATTCTGCCGACCTTCTGTAGTATCATCGACTGGACCAAAGCAGTTATCCTGTTGTCGTTGCAGCTATTGGCCACCACTGCGATTGCGTGTGCGACATTGCCACAAACAATTGATGTTTCCTCATCACCACTCATCGACAATGATATCACACTTCCCGTTCGAACTCTGGTGAAAGACCCGGAATGATGCTGGTCCACAACATGACCATTAGGAGAAGCGGCTGTATTGTGTATTTTTTCAGTCCCAGAGCCGGAACTGAGCACGTTGCCCAATGAGTACAAGGTTGTAATAACCGCATCCTGAGACAAAATACGGAGAACATGCGCTAAACTTTCGGCGGCAATGGCAACTATGGGGGACGCAGATGTGCCTTGCACAATGAAACGAAGCAAAAGTCGAGCAAAGTTTGCGGCACTTTCGGCCATAACCTCCGCTAAGATGGCAAAACTTTTCAAGACCACGCCAGCAAGATTTTCATCCGCCATTTGCACCTCGTTGCTCATTGAATCTTCGAGCCAGCCGAACAGAACTTCGGCGTCGGCAATACCTTCGTCGACCATCATACAATGCAGGAAGGCTTCTAAGGCAAAAGCCTTCACAGAGAAGGCAAGGCGTTGCTGCCATGCCGAGCTCAGTTGAAGATAGTCCGAACCTTCTTCCAAGACACGTATCTCGTCTGTGATGACCTCGGTAAGATACTCGATCATGGGTTCATCGACGGTCGCATCATGTAAGCCACCAAAGCGTTGTCCTGTCATATAGTGGTCGAGGAGATCTCCTGCTGCTACGGCGGTTTCGCTAGCTACAAACCTCGAAGTGCTGGCAACGACGAACCGCATGAAGCCTTGCTGGAGGAGCATTGCGCCCAGTGGTGTTCCTTTAGCCGCGTACCTTCTGAGGTATTTCCTCCAATCCCGGTACTGATGTTCAGAGTGGGATGAAGTGCGTATGGTAGAAGATGCTGTTTCAACTGCAACTAGAAATCGCTCGGAGAGCATGCCCTGTAGTTGTCGAATGATGTTCACCCTATCTAATGATGGCCAGTAATGAGCATGTGAAGCAGCAGCTTCCATGAAGCCTTTTAGTGAAACGGTGATCGAGACAATTTCGGCAGCGTCCTGATCGTCGTCATGCTGATTGCTTGTATGGTCTTCCTGAGTGATGGGGGAAATGGCATTCAAAGATTTGATACAGTTAGAGATGTAGGCCTCTATACTTGCAGATATGTTTAGTTGCAGTTCTGGAAACCTGAGTCCAATTGCCAGGAGAGCATGAGTAAGGTCATAGGTAAGGGCTTCCCATGGCGAAGGTTTGATATCGTGAAGGAAAGGCGAGGAATGAAAGACTTGTGTATGTGATTCAGGCAAATATTCCCTAAGCTGCACTACCAGTCTCTGGGCATGTTCGACATGTTGAAGACCCGGCGCCGCTTTGCACAAGGCAAGGAGGACATCGAGCTCCCGCAGGCTCATGGGCAGTCTGGAGCTGGGGGCAACGCCGCGCAGGATCCCGTCAAGAAGGCCACTGGGCAGCGATTTAGGTCGATGAAGCGAGGCTGTCAACCTGCTGATTCCCTCGGTCTCCTCGCCATCGCTAGGGGCTAATGACAGTGCCGCCAACTTCATAAAGGCTTTGCGCCGAATACTTCCATTACAACTGTTCCAACGTCAACTCCGGCGCGTATATAGAGGACTTGGGTGGCATACACATCCATTTGGTTACCTCGGTCACCTTCAAGACCACCTGGATGCGTTTTGAGAAGCTCTCGAGCAGCGCAGACCGAAGCATGAGACACTATTTGAAGGGGTACTGCAAGTCCATGCAACGTATTCCCTTGGGGAGTTTGTAGACTTGACCAGGCATGAGCTCCATTGGTTGATATAGAACTTATGGCGGGAATTGTCCGCAAACATGAACCATCTGGTGCTTCTCGAATGGAGATGCACCTTCGACTGGATCGCAAGGTACAAACCTCAATAGGTACGAAAAGCGCAGGTCCTCACTCCGACGTGGCTTGGCAAAGTTCTCGGTTGGGGGACGTTTTATTCCTTCAATGTTGAGGTCAGCACTCGGACTACCGTACACAATTAGGGGACTCCAGCCTCGAGATCCCAGTACGTGCATATCCAAGGGTGATGTATGACGAAACCTATACTACGAGCAAAACCATCTCAAAGTCATCCTCTATACGGAGTACTCCAAAGATTAAGAATACGGCCTCAAGCTTGCTGGATCATCCCCACCACGCAAGTGTCTCGATACCTCAGGCATCCAAAGACCTTTGAAACAGAGCTCCCTGGCAGAAAGACTCTACATCATCACCCAGGTACTACGAGACACCAGCAGAGACCAATTCGGGGCTTATTCACAATCCTGCTTGTATTATGGCACCACAAAACGAAAAGAGCAGTCTTAAACGAGGCAGGGTAATTGTTGATCAGAGGATTGTGGACGTTTTTTGTTTACATTGTTACAGGCTAGCACTAGGGATGAACAGGACGTCAAGAAACCTCGACGGTCCACTAGAATATCTTCGCAGTCACATCCCAAATCTCCTTCTACTCCCGTCATCAATAAAGGTTATCTTCCATCCCCTCTGACCAACCAAGCATCTACAGCAACGGAGACTTACAAGGACGGTACTGTGACTCCGCCGGAGGGTAGACCCAGCCAGATCAGACATCATACACCTGCCTCTTCCCCTAGGCTCAATGCACTTTCATCGCCTCCAGGTGATACACAACCACTCTCCCAGTTCGTCTTCCCTCCTCGAGATCTTGGTGACAGCGATGAGGAGCCGGACGAGAGTACGTGGGGCTACCTACACCCATTGGATGAGCGCTGGGGAAAGAAGTTGATAATGAAAAAGCGGCCGGCTTGTCCAGCCCCTGCAGCGCCCCTTGAGAAAGCCAGGCTTAAGCATAAAAAGCAGGATCGGCCCACTGGTAATCTGGCGAAGGATGAAGAAAGGTATGAAAAGACCAAGAGGGAAGTTGGATTCCCTGCGGGGGGGTACCTAATTGGTCGGCACCCAGAATGCGACGTGCTCGTTGATATCCCAACAATATCAAACAGGCATTGCCTTTTGTTCAGCGAACACAAACATGGCGAAACCATCGCAGTCTTGGAAGACCTGTCTAGCAATGGTACCTTTGTCAATGAAGCAATAGTTGGTCGCAACAAGAGACGGGAGCTTGAGGACGGAGACGAGATCACCATAGTCGATGAAGCAAGATTTGTGTTTAGATACCCTCGGCGCCAACGCGAATCCAGTGCGTTCCGATCTCAATTCCGAATGCTGCAACAATTGGGCAAAGGCCATTTCGCGTCTGTCTATCTCTGTATTGAAAAGGCCACGGGATTCAAATACGCTGTCAAGAAATTCGAAAGACGCATGGGCGACTCTCAGCGGTCACAAACAGAGGGCCTGCAGCAAGAGATTGCCGTCTTGATGAGCGTCAGTCATCCCAATGTTCTGTGCCTGAAGGAGACATTCGATGAAGCAGACGGGGTATATCTGGTTCTCGAGCTTGCGCCAGAAGGAGAATTGTTCAATTGGATCGTGATGAAACAAAAGCTCTCGGAAGAGGAGACTCGAAAGGTCTTCATTCAGCTGTTTCAAGGAATCAAGTACCTGCACGAACGCAACATTGTTCATCGCGACATCAAGCCAGAGAACATTTTGTTGACCGACAAGAACCTCTCGGTCAAGCTGGCTGATTTTGGCTTGGCGAAGATCATTGGCGAACAGTCCTTCACGACCACACTCTGTGGCACCCCAAGCTGTTTGTCATCCTACCGAACCATTGCCTCTCTTATGCTAACCCTCTTAGATGTTGCTCCTGAGATTCTGGCTCAAACTCGCCAGCGTAAATACACCCGTGCTGTTGATGTCTGGTCACTGGGCGTCGTACTCTACATCTGCCTTTGCGGCTTCCCACCCTTCAGTGATGAGCTGTACAGCGCCGAGAACCCCTACTCCCTTGCACAACAGATCAAGATGGGTCGTTTCGATTATCCATCGCCATACTGGGACAGTGTTGGAGACCCCGCCCTTGACCTAATCGACCGGATGTTGACCGTCGATGCCGACCTGCGAATCACAGTGGACGAATGCCTCAACCATCCATGGATCACTGGAAAGTTGGATAATTGGCAGCTTAATGTCAGTCTGAGTGACAGCACAGACGGCCTGACCGGGCAATTGAACCAGCTCGACTTCTCGAAACGCAAGATGGAGCGGCAGAGGACTCTGCTCAGCGCCATCAACGACGTCAAGATCATGAAGAAGATCCGAGAGGATGATCCGAATTCATCGGCGCCACCCACAGAGATCAAAGTGTTTGACAAGAACCCTGATGGCAAGAAGAGGTTGGCTCAGGATCTGGCTGGTCAGAAAAAGGTGCCTGCCAAGGAGAACGATCCAGCAGCTGAGCGGGCTACCGAAGAATTTATGGGTATGGGCGGTAAAGGTGACATGGCATTGTTTGACGATGATGTCTCGAGCCGGTACCTGCCTCAGGAGGTTCCTCAGTGAATTCGGTATCAGTGCATTTGGTGGCTCTTATTTTTCACGCCCTCTTCTTTTCTCCACCTGTTCTCTCTGCTGTTTGCTTCAGGTGCCTCGCAGTGCGAACTCCGTGGGTGTATTAGGGCAAGAATTGCACCTATAGGTTGTTTCTGCTCTCTGTATTCATGTCAGTAGCGAGCTCCGTGCATACCTATAGCTAGCTGCGTCTCGTGTTGTGCATCAGGTTAGATAAAACTCGCTGGAGGCTTGTACGTCGAGGGAGCTGTAGCTACTATATTTGGAAGGAATCGAAGCGATGGGTAGGTGAAAGGATGGGAAATGAATGGACATTGCATCAACGATCTGTTCTGCACCGGGAGCCGCGCTGTTAGCTATTTATTCTTTGATGTATACAGCTGTGCAGCCCTCCACGTCGTAGCATCCGGAAGGCATCTCGAGTCTGCAGGACACGAATCTCTCGACTCGACTCTTCCATCTATTCGGCCCCGGATGATTTCAATGCCGCATCACGAATACCTTACAAGCTTGCGTCCAGGGCGCCTGTCAGGATGCCATGTTCTTCTACCCCCTCGCTTTCCGCCTCTGCTCAACGCCCCTCTTAAACCTAACCTCTGCCTTCCTCCTCTCCCCTCCATCAACCTTGTGGCCCCTCCTGTGCTCCCAAAGCCCCTCCTGGACCTTCAACGTCGCCACGCTCCCATTCGACCCCTTGGTCGGCTGCACATACGGCCCCTCAATCATATGCCCATTCGCCAGCCTTACACCGGCCACTTTCCTCAAGTCAAAAGTCGACTGTCCCTCGTCCAATGCTTTCGTAGGCTCCGTCTCGCCGGCGGGCAGGTTGATGATCAATCTCGTCATCAAGGGCGTTGTTAGCGGCAGCGTCGTCGTCGTCGTCGTCGTCCTTTTCGGCACCTCCACCACCCTCATCGTGCCCACCCCATCCTCCACGAATCGCATATCCCCCCCGATGCCGAACTCGCCCTTGCGGTACTTCTCGCGCCATCGCAGGAGGTAGCGTCGGTCCCGGGCGGGCTCGATGCCGCGCTCGCGCAGTTGGCGCGACGAGAGGTTGAAGAGCTCCTCCCAGGAGGAGAATTTGGCGGTGTACTTGGACAGGGAGCGCCCGATCAGCTTGAGGAAGGTGGCGTGGTCCG